GATCAGATTATATTTATTACCTGTGTAACTCTGTCTTCTCCCTGAGTCACAGTCACTTGCTTCAAGAAGTCACCAATTCTGGGATCTCCTGTGTCCCCTGGGATGCTGAGGAAGTGTAAGGAAGATGGAGTGAGACTACAAGATGCAATTTGCTTGTGAAGTGATGGGACAGGGATTGTAGTTTTAGTGTTGAGAAGGTGCACTTGGAGAACAGGGAAGAAGTGGACAATGGACTGGCTTTCTTGCTCACTGGAGACCCAACATGCATTCAGAGTTGCTGCGAATTGTCCTGGTAGCACTCACCAAGCAAAGTTACAAAATCCTAAACTACTTACACATGAGCTTTTGTCCACTTTGCCAGCAAGATCAGCAAATTGTCATGTCCACCTGGCAAAGTAAGTTCCATTCACATAATAAACACCAGCCACAGATAATGTCATACCTGACCTCTTAGGAAATTCTTGAACTTGCACTCCCCAGCAGTGTGTATTTTAAAAAGCTGTTTTGGCCACGTGTCAGCATAACATTGCTGTTACTTAATTTAACAAGAGTTAATTGAGCTGATGCCATAATGATGAATGTATTAGAAATACATACATGTTGGGCCAAGTGTGTGGTGGCATTGCACATCAGCTTTGTTGTTCTGTTCTTTTCTGTTAAAGCAAGCATTTGACTTTTGGTAACCTTCTTTCTAGGGTTCTTTTTTTTTGGTGGTTTTCTTTTTTCTTCAATATCTCTCTTTTCCTGTGCCTAAAATAGTTCCATGTATGGTTTGGATGCTTGGTTGAAAGCCTTTGATATCAATACTGTATTCCTGCTGTCTTCACTGAGTAATAAGAGCCAAAATAAGACATTGGTGTTCACGTGTTCTGCATGTTTTGAATCTATGTTTTTATTTTAAAATATCTAGTTCTACTCCAAGATTTCTTATTATTTCTATAACTTTCTCTACAGCATGCTAAAATTATGAATGTTTTTTAATTGTATCTCAAGGTCTTTAACTCTCGTTTTTGGAGAATTTTCCACTTTGTGTTGGTTCAATCATATTGTAGGTAGGTGTTACTGTAATTTATAGAAGAAGGTAGCAGATTTGGCAAGGGAACTTACTGTGACTGGAAGACATTAGCTCTGTTTATTATTTATATTGATTGGTGGTTTGAGACCAGGATGCCAGAGCATTTGGGGGGAAGATAAAAGTCATCTCCTGCAGTTTGGGCTGCCCTCTCCCAGTATGACCATAGCTGAGAACCAGGTGCTGCAGCACTGCACCATGCCAGCTGCCTCCCTCAGTGGTGTGCCTGTCTCATGCCAGCTAAAAGGAGATCGGAAGTTAGGAGCTGTGTCCTTATGTGACACTGGGAGTCAAACAGGGAATGGGAACAAAATCAGGTTGCTGACAACACATTTAGTGATTTAGGCATCTTTTTTTTTTCTATCATGGGTTTCAACAGCATAGTTGTAGGAGCTTTTAAAATGCCTAAAATATAGAGGGTGGTATTTGTCCCTCTGTAGTAAACTAGATTAGTGCCTTTGCCTTGTCAGAATGATGAATATAACTCAAACCTCAAAGTCCAGGAAATGATAAGGTAAGGGCCTTAATAAGCACAGGTCTTAATATAATCTTAATTCTGCCCAAGGAACTGATTATACCCATTGGAACAGCTCAGTAACATGAGTGTTTATAAAAGGCAAAGGAAAGCATAGCTGTTAACTCATAGCAAGCACTGCCTTTGGAGAATCAAGTGTACCTTTATAAGGATGGGATTTCTCAGGTTGCCTTGTTAATGGCAAGGTTTTCTTCTCATGTGCATTGCCAGTGATGTGATGAGATGCAGCATGACAGTTGGTAGTTTGTGGGTACAATGAGATGTCACAGAATTAAGGAATCCTCAGATCAAAGGGGGAGGATTTGTAACATTTAGTGCAGCTGAGAACATTTTAAAATGTACAGGAGGAACATTTGCTGTAGCTCGTTTGCTTTAGATGACTAACTCAAAATTGGATGTGGCCCATGGTGGCTGTGCTTTCTTCCTAGGGGGGTTGTAGTGCTTGTAACATGGAATAAAATGTTCTTAAAGAAGGTTTCAGCTGCACTTTGGTGCTTATGTTACCTTAAACTCTTATTTCCAAATAAGATTGTGAGGATTTTGCTACCTTTCACATTTCTGAAGGATGTGCTTGTAATGTCACTTTGACAAAAATTACATTGAATAAATATTTTTTTTCAGTACTGTCATGCAACAGATTTTCTTTATTCAGGCAGGGAAGGCATGTGTTTAAGAGTCTAGTGATATGACCTTTCCCTGCAATACAGGAGACACAGATTTTAATTCCTTTGACCTGGAAGACAAGAACAGACATACTGAGTCAATTCAGGGTTAATTTTGTTTTCATCTACTGTTCTGTCTCAGGCAGGGCCAATAATAGGTGAATAAGGTATAAACAGCTCAGGAATAGCACTTTGGTCTTTCCAGCTTTTAGATGTCTGTCTCTTTATGCTTAGTAATGCTTGATGTGCTTTTGTTACATAAATTCTTTTAATGGGAGATCAGATCTGTCATGTCCCAGAAGATTCAATTCCTCTCATACAGTAAAAAGGGAAATATTTATGCAAGGCTGCAGATGGTGAGGTACAGAGGCTGATCCCAGGCTGGCTTGGCAGCTGCATATACCTCTTCAGACATGAGCTCAGGTCTCCATTGCTTCTTTGGGCATGGGGACTGGAAGTGAGAGGTATATTAAGTATACTAACAGAGAGTGTCATGGGTGGTTTCGGTAAGAAATGGTGCAACTTCAGGAGAGAATTCATAGTTGAAGAGTGTGAAAAACCACAAATACCTTTCTTAAAGCCTGAAGGTAGTCCAAGACTACAGTTACACCTTCCACTGACCACCACTCATCTCAGTATTTTCTGTGGATCATGTTCAAAGGAGCATTGTGCGGAGATGCGAATCCCACTGAGATCCTGGAAGCTGCAACCTCGCGGTCTGTCTATGGATTAAGCTGTCAATCATTTATTTTCCTTTCATTGTGTTTGTTTCCATTTTCTCAGAGGGACATAAAGACTCTGCAGGGCAACAGAGCCTTTCCCACATACTAAATGTTTTCAACTGTTTTCTTGTTGGCAATGATGGATCGGCTGTGCTTCTAATGTAAAATTTGACTTTCCATGCCAACTTCAGAGGACATTGACCTGACTCCCCAGATGAGTCCTTACACTGCCTTCAGGATGCTCACAGAATCGCCTGTCCTTAAGTCCTGAACCCAGGTGTCTGAGACAGTCTCAGATTCAACACGGGAGTGCAACATTGCCTCACTGACCTGCGGTGACTGTCCCATCAGACTGCTTCCAAGTTGTCTCTCATCAGATGCCCAGCTGCGTATGACCACTCCTTTTTTAATGCCTCACATCACTCGGCACAGCTAGAATTAAACCCTTAATAATGCTTTCACTGTTGCTTTCCTAATGGGACACTGGGTGTCCAGCAAATTGAAGAGTAAGCTGAGCCAGTGAAGGAGTTTTGGAATACTCACAGAATTTTGTTTTTGGACAGGACAGACCCGAGCTCTCTGAGATTTGCTGGGTTTGGGAAGTACTTGATAATGTTAGCTAAAATCCTTCCCCACACACACAATACTCTGCTCTCTTCCTTTTGTCACACAGCCTTCCTCTGCTATCTCTACAAAAAGGCTTTCATGCAATCTGGCCGGTCAGCTGTTGCCTTTGTGCATTGTGCTGGATCTGGGATAAAGCGTAAGCTCTTCAGTTCAGATGCTGTACAGTGTGGCATGAATGCTGATGGTGCTCTGGTTAAGAAAAAAGCAACCAAGCAAACTTACAATTAACAGTAACTAAGCAGATTTGAGAACAACGAGTTCCTAGAAGTAGTTGCATATTTAAAGGTTTTCCTTTTTTTTCCCCTTTCAAAGCTATTTACGTTGGTATTTTCACTATGGAAAACTGCTTTGTTAGGAAACAGACTTGTGTGTGGATCTCAGTATTACAAGATTTGTCCTCAGAAAGCCAATTAGTGCTTGAAGTAGAAGCTAATCGACTTCACAAGTGTGATTTCCATCCTTTGTCTTAGGAACAGCAGCAAGCAATCACACTGCAGAACATCACCTTGAGAAAGAGCAAGTCTGTTGCTGTACATCTTTTCTGTATGTTTCTATTTCTAGAGGTTTTTTCCACTAATCTAAGGTGTGTCAGTGTGACCACTAAGTGAAGACAGAACAATCTGCTGCAGCAGAGCTCCTCCAGGGATATAGCTTAATCAGCCCTAGGGTGACTTCTTAAGTAAAGGAGGTGAGAAGCTGTAGAAAAGAAGCAAAGATGTGAAATCTTTGAAAAGAAGAATGCGACTTACTTTGTAGAGGGGAGCAATTTTATTACACATTGCAAGCATAAATAGAAAGCAATTCTGTTATAAGCTGTGACCTATGAGTTGAGCATCCATCCTGATTTCCCTCGCTGTAGTGAGCAGTTAGAAATCAAACTCACATGGATCCTCAAAAATATGGAACAGAAAAGTCCCACCTGTGCTGTAATCAAGCAGACAGAACCCCCCCAGTGCACATCAGTACTAAGACCACAATTCATCCTCTTGAGAAATGTTTTGTACATTAGTTTGATTAGTTTTTACTCAATACCCTGTTGCTTTAGGCATGAATTAGCAAGGCAGTGTTGGCACTGTGCATAAATGTCTGCAGTTCTGTTTTCAACACTTTTTAGAACTGGCTTCAGATATCAGTGTGGGCACTAAGCACCCTTACTTGTAGTAGCCTATGTATCTAATTTTGAGAAAGGCCAAATGCTGCACTTAAGGCACTGTGTGATGTAAAAATGAAGATACTCCAGCTCTGGCTGTAATCAGCAGGCTGTCAAGTTGTATCAGCCTTTGGAAGCAGAGCAGAAGAGAAAATAGAAAGTTAAGTGCTGTGGAGCTGCAAATGAATGTCGTGCATGGACCGACCTCTGTGTGTTTGTTCTTCATTGGCAGGTTGATGACGCCTGGAAGTGAAATTCGGTTTGTCCACAAGCACATGGGTCTGGTGCCAGGCTGGGGAGGAGCTGCCCGGCTGGTGCGGATCGTGGGCAGTGGGGCAGCCCTGCAGCTGCTGAGCGGGGCCACCCGGGTGGACCCTGAGAAAGCTTTGCGCCTGGGATTCTCAGAGCAGACCCTGTCATCTTCAGATGAAACCACGGCCTTAGAAGAAGCCCGAGCCTGGCTGAGTCAGTACACAGAGGGTCCAGTCAGTGTGATTCAGGCTGTGAAAAAGGTGGTGACAGCAGGAAGAGAGCTCCCATTGGAAGATGCCTTAAGGACAGAGAAGGACATTTTTGGAACTGTATGGGGTGGGCCTGCCAATTTGCAGGCATTGGTTAGAAGACCAAAACATAAATGATGGTCAATGCATAAATGTTCTTGGCCTTTTTGCAAACAAAGCTTTCACTAAAGCAGGCATTAAACTTGAATCATTTAAGGACTTGCCCATTTAAAACTGGCATTAACATTCCTGCCATTCACTTCAGGCAGACATATTTGGTGTGCAACCACAGAGAAATCCCTGGCAGATTCTTTACTGTCCTAATCACCCACTGAATAGAGATTAGTGAAATTAGTATGTAAAGGTAAATATTGTGCTGAGAATAGAACTGTAATTCTTTTGGAATGAAGCTGAAGATTATTTTCTTTGGAGTTAATTTTTTCTGACTGGTATGGAAATAATTACTTGAAAGTTATAAGGTTTATTTATTTGCAGAACAGGTGCATCTAAAGCTGCAAACTACGAGTTCCCCAACATGAGACCAATGTCTTTAAGCAGCTTGGAAAGGGTGATAACTAGTGATAGTTTTTATTTTTTCATCTCCAGTCAGTTCTTCACTATTCAAGGATACTTTGATTCTAATGGTGTTTTTACGGAAGAAGCTTTAACATACTGAGACCTCCTAGCCCTCATTCACTGACACTGATTCAGGTTTTTAAATGCATTTAGGTGTATTCTTACTGCTCAAGGAATCAACTACCTACACATGCCCATATGCTGGACCTGTGCAAAGCTGGTGACCTGGTTCTTTACATAGAATCTAGTTGAAATCCTGAAAGGACATGATGTATCATGTTCCCAAATGGAATGTCCTTAACTGACTGAGTGTCAGAGTACTTCAGCATCCTGGTAAAACTTGTGTGTGGATTTGTCTATATCTTTCTTCAGAGCATTTTTTCTGGTAGGGCATATTTGGGCTGATCAGAGGATTTGGAACTGAGTCTCCACTTCATGGCAGTGACTATTCAAGTAATTAGATAAATCACTGGGGAGGGTTTCCCCTTTAAAAATTAGAAACTGTTAGAGTCCCTGCTTTGGCACATGTTTCTTAAAATTAAACATCTATGAGAGCAAAACCATATCTGTGACTGAGAGTTTCATGTACTGTTGGTTAGGATACACTTGTCTCTAAATCCAGCAGGGACTGAGATCTGAGCCCAGGACCCAAGTACTCCATGGGAGCATGTTAAGGAGGAAAGTTTGGGCTGGATGCTTGGCCTGACCAGGCATAACTAGCTCCAGATGATAGTAAAAGGTCTCCTAGGAAAAGAAGGCAATTTCTTGGATTGAAATCCATATTACAATTTCTACAGTGTGGCAGGATTCTTGAGTTTTAGACAATGAGGTAACTACATGTTTGAGGATTTGGGGACAAATCAATGATGGGAATTTGGCTTGGGTTGCCTGTTAAGATTCTGGAGGTTTTGAGCAGATGCTGTGATCTGCTGGGGATGTTTTACTATAAGGTTTTAACAGCAAGGAGCATGAAGCAATCAACAGAAATGCTGAAGAAGAGGATGTGTTTTGAATTGGCACTTCAGAGAAGATAAGGAACTTGCCTCCCCCCTGTAGATCCTGCGTTTTTGCCTTAATATCTCAAGCACTGATGGAGAACGATTTCAAATCTCTCTTCCCCAAAAATAAAGTTCAATTTTTATTTTCAGGTTAGAGAAGAGATAGGAATGAGAACATGGGGAGATAGTGTTCTGATTTGTGCCTCTTCTTCCCCCTGCCCCTTTTTAGTTGTTAGTCCCCTGTGTAGCTGGATTCTTTCCTGTGCCCTAAAATACTTCAAACCTGTTTCTTCACAGGTATGAATGTTTTAATATAGTCGGGCAGCACTTGACTGTTTAGTAATGAAACTGTTCTGCTTTTTATGAAGTTCCTCAAGACTCATGAGGGACTCCAGACTGCCAGCATCACTGAACCTTCAAAGCATGCTCCAGTCCATACTCATCCAGCTTTTTGCAGCAATAGCACATCATGTGATGACATGATGTGAGTCAAAAAAATGTGCTTTAAAGGGCAACTGGTTATGTCTTTGCTAGTAGCAAGAATAGATTTGCTATTATTAATGCAGTAATTATGTTTTTTAAATGGGTGTGAAAATTGCTTAGAACCTGAGCAAGACTCTTGAATCTTTTTTTTTTTTTCTTTAGTGTATTAGGCTCATAAAGGTACTGTGTACTGGGTGATATGAACTTGAAAAGGAGAAAATTGTAGCAAAAAAGCAGAATTTAATTTCCTTCACATTTTGAACCAGATCTGTGCTGCCAGTAAGTGAAACTCAGTATGTGCACCTACTGGGGATCTCTTACCATTTTGATTTGTAAACAATGAACTTATTTCTCATTTCAGCAAATGCATTTCCCCAGCCACCGTCTCTGACTTGTATCAAAGGTCAATGTTTGCTTCTAAGAAAACAGGACAAATATTTAACTAATACAGAGCAAGACATGTTCAGACAGAAAGGGTTATGGAAACTCATTTTGTTGATATCATAAATATACCAAACATAGGTACAGGACATTCTGACATTACAGGTTTTGATCAAGAAATTTGTGGGTAGTCTAATACCATATTCTCTGGTCTGTTTTCTATTTAAGCTATTTTAGAGCCCTTCACATGAAAACCAACCCAAGTAAACTACCGTGAGTGCTAGGATGAGATCTCCAAACTGAGATGAAATGGAATCCTGTTTTCTCCCTTTGAAAGCTAAATACTTTATTTCATAGAATACTTGCTTAGCATCTTAAATTGACAAATATCTGTAACCAGCAGCTGATAAGCATTTGTATTTTCTTTACGATTAATAAAATCTACAAGCTTCCTCTCAGATTTTTTTTCCCTCTCTGAAATTGTTTAAAACCAAACGAGCTCTAAATGCACAAAATAAATTAGAAACATCAAAATTAATAGTCCCAGTCTCCTAATTAAATAGCATGCTAGCTTTTGTGCTTCCTAGGGGCTAATTTGCCAGCTCCCTCCTCAGCAAACTAAGTTTCCTATTACATTGTGAAATGCCCATCTTGTTCTTTCCTCTGTGTAGTGGATCACACTGAGGGCTTAATGGGGGTGTGGATTCTGCACCAAGCATTTAAGGGTTAGGTACTGGAGATCACTTTTAGCAATATAAATGCTTCTATATTATTTGCTGTTGATAGAAATATACTAAGCAAATAGTCAGTCTAGATAAGCAAGATGTTCTGGCAGAATGCTTGGTTCAATATCTGATTTTTTTTTTTACCATGACATAGGATTCCTGTATCTGTAGTTATCTGTTCTCCTGGAAATGAAGATTTGTTGTAGATTATGTAGCATTTAAATTTCCTTTTTCGTTTTCCCTTTTGCTCCACTGTGCATTTCTCTTGGTGTGCTGAACAAGTTGAAAATCACTTAATGCACGGGATTACAGAAAACCACAAAATGCAGTGTGGCTGTGGCTTTGCTAAAACAGAGAGAGAACATCTCTCCTACTGAAAGTAATGGTTTAAATATAAGATGGGAATTACCAGTAACTACTTTTTCCTAGCTTGATCTGGGGAGTGCATTTACCACTCTGATGATTGGCTATTAATCTCTCACTAGCCTTACTTTAACTAATTTTAGTACTTCATAGCTGCAGTCAGCCAGCAGGAGCCAAAAGCAGCATCATGGGTGGGGGGGCTGAACAGAGGTCTGCCTCTTTGGTCAAAAAACCTAAGGATAATCACTGATGAAACTATTTGTAGATTGTTTGGGCTGAAAATCCTGAAATTAGGTATTTAGTGAGTCAAGTTCTTGTATACAACTTCTTGCTTTCTTCAACACATACCCCTCACATAAAGTAAAACGTGTGTGCGTAACAGAAGTGTTCTTACTGAAGGTCTTTGTGGCACAAAGTCAGACTCTGATTAGAGCCAGTGTGTGCTAACTCAAAATAAAGAGAAATAAAATAGCTAGCAACTAACAGAGAAAAAAAACCATTCCATCCTGTTTCCTTCTGAAGTCTGTGTTACTGGCTTATTTTCTTATGGAACTGGAAGGTGACCAAGAGCATCTATTCCTAGCTGAGAAAGAAGGAAATATTATTTCATCCTAGTCTCCTTGGCACTTACCTGACCCCCTGATCTCACGTGTAGGCAGAGGAAACAAACTAGAGGGCTGGCACAGCTCTGTCCAAGATTAGACATGTCAGCCATCACTACAGTAAGAACATTTTAGAAGTTTAAATCTAGCATCTTTAAAAACTGGCCCTTTTAATTCCATTCAAATGGTTTGTCTAAAGCAACTTTTGTTTTAAGATCTGTAATAGCTATGTATCAGCTACTGTCCCTTTCTATTCAGGGATACATACTCTAAGAATTGGAGTTTAATTAGATTGATTATAAAGGTTGAATCCAAAATCAACTAATGCTGTTTCTCACTTTGAAAAAAATGTAAAACAACTGCCACAGACAGAAAAGACAAGCTGTGCTTTTCAAGATCTGGCTTCTAATATTCTGTGATACACCAAAGTCCATTTGTAGAAATGCAGCTCCTAGATTGCTAGTACATGCACAAACTACCCCTTCTGTGCTGCAACTGGTTTTGCTATGAACAGATAAACAGCAATACAATCCTTAATATCCATGTCCTTTGTTACAGGGTCAACTTTGATAACTTCTGCTCTTTTATTTCAGTATTTCTGCTGCTAAGGTTGCGTGTGATACTTCTGCCCACCATCAATAGTGAAGTGAGTTAATCAGCTCTTCAGATGAGAAATGTGTGTTGTCTGTGAGCATTAAGCCTGCAACTCATGACTTTTCAGTAGAAAAGATGATACTCCTACAGCGTTGTGTTTGAGAGACAGCCAGTCAGGGATGCAAGAACTTCAGGATGCCACTCAGAGCCAGTCCTCTCTTTTGGCAAAAACAGGAAGCTGTTTTGTGATAATTTTCTTTGAAATCCCCCCAGTGAAGTTCAATTAAACTGGAAGTATATCACAGATCGTTACTGATAAAATGTAGTTTTATTAAATTATAAATTCTGTAACAAAAACGAGACAGATCAAGAAAGACCTCAAAAACAAAACTACAAGGACTAGATGGCAAAGCCAGTGAAAAAGCCATGGAGAGCGTATAGGATTTGCAACACAAGTTAACAGCATTTTTACATTTCCATTGAAAAAAGGTAAATGGTTGCTCTTGTCTAGCAAAAACACATTTTAACTCCAAACTCACATCTATTTTCTCACATTAAATTAAGCATCCTGCTTCACACCCAACACCTTGCCTGATTCCACATTGCTTTAGTGTTCTTTTCATACATCAATCCATGCAGAAAGTAGTAAGACACTTAATGCAACAGTCAGGTAATGAAGACAATTCAAGTTGTACAGTAGATATACATTGGCTAAAGAGGGATAGAGTATCTCCAGGGGAAAATGCTACAAAATAAACACAAGACATTCTCTAGAAAACTGGGCATTGCTAAGCAGCTTTCAAACCATTAACAGGACAACCCAGTTTCCTACAGTTAAGAATCTTCCAGCTGAGACATGTTAAGAGACTTAAGTTAAAACAGGCCAAATCTGTTTCTCCCCTTCACCCCACCCTCCCACCAAACACACTGCTAGGTTTGAGTGCGATGCAAATGTGGACAGAAAATTTACAGAAAATTACAAGTGAGTTTTTTTTTTCGCATGGCTCTAGATTTAAACTTCAGTGACTGTGCACTGTCCATCTGGCCTTCTAGATCTTACACTTGGGTTTACCACCCCACCCCCTGCCACTGGTCTATCTGCTCCTGACTGGCTTGCACTGGCATTCAAGTGTCTCTGCTGGACAGAGGACGAGCGTTGCTGAATGTGGGCAGACACATCCTCGCTATCGCTGCTGGCATCCGACTCGGTCTCCTCAACAGAGGTGTCGGGGGCTGGCATCCTGCCAGAAGACGATGATTCGTGGTCTTCTTCTCCCTCTCCCCTATGACTCCTCTCAGCCATACTGTCTCCATTTATTTGCAAGTGGGCAAAAGAGTTCTCTAGAGAATTACTTGCATCAGGTGATGGCGTTGAAGGACTCAACAGCTGACCATCCAGCGATGGCAGGGGCCTCACAGAAATGGGTGCTAGAGGCTGCACAGCTGCAGCCCCGGGAGTCAGTGTGCTGTCTGCACCGTCGGCGGAGCTCTCTCTTGCCAGGTTGACGGTGTTGGTGTCACAGTCCAGCCTCAGCCCAGCCACTCCCTTCTTTGGTATATCTATTATGTCCCGTTTTATTTTTCTGCGACGTCCATGCTCATTTCTCCTATACTGTACCATATTTTCAAGATCCGCTACATATAAAAAACCAGCAATTAGCATTTCAGTGCTCTTTTTACCCTTGGCAAAGGCATCTTCCAGCTCTCTGCTGGTACGTTCATCATACTGCCACCAACCATTTCTACCTTCGTAGTACCAAGCATATTCTCCATTGCCTCTGCTTGCTGCTTTGAGTTCCTCAGGTGACAATAAGGTTGGCTTGTCAAGAAAATCCTCGGGAATCTCCTGCCGGCAGAGTGCACATCGTTTCCCGAGCCAAGAAGCTCCCTTCACACACAGATAGCAGAAAACATGTTTACAAGGCAGACTTACAGGATGGACACATGTTTGCAGACAGATAGCACATTCAGGGACTGGCAGGGAAGGTGCTGCATTAGTACACGACTCGTTTGTCTTCCTGTTTGTGGGAAGCATGTTGATTGAATGATCTATTTCACCACAGCCAGCCATCCTGCAGAGGATCAAAGTGATTTAAATCAGTTTACTGTGTCAACTTAAACTGGCAGCTTGCATCACATTTGACCTCAATATCCACAAAACGAGATGCTTACCTTAATTTAAGGTAAGTTACCATTTATGAAGCTTAACTCAAAGAAATTGATAGGTTTACAATCTGTTTCCTGAAGTGACAAACTAAATCAAGTACTGGGAGAATTTCTTTTGCTGATCACCAATCTTTTATCTGTTTAATTTTCACCATGTTAACATACCAAGTTAGAAAACAAATTGTGGCATTTCCTCTATTCATTTGCTGAAGCAGTGTTGACTAATGAACCTTCAGCCAACCAGTTACTTTGGTGCCTCCTCAGGATATTTAAAGAAACTCTGGTTCTCTCCTCAAGAGGTGACCTAACTGCAAACATTGAACTTAAAACAATCTCTCTTCAGACTACTAGTGATCCTCCATTTGATTAAGGGAGTGCCTGAACAGTACCTCAGACTAGGTTTACACAGTAGAAAGTATGCCTGGCAGCAGCAGCCAGCTGAAGTATTCCCCAACTCTGTTTCTTAGTTCCCATGCACCATGGTACTATCTCTCAAACTGGGCTCGGAACCACCACCGGGCTGCAGAAAGAACCAGACTGAAAAACTGAGGCAGCCTTTTCAAAAATACCTTGGATTCCTTCTTTCTAAACATCAAGTGAACTCCCTGATGTATCTGAGTGCCTCTTTAAAGGAATTACTGCAGATCAGCAGAAGCAGCAGTATATTCCAGCAGACACACAACTGTGACTTGATTGGCTTGTGAAGTCATTGCCTTTACTTTCTCTGGTCATATCTTATTTCTGTCATTAAAGATGATTTTGTAACTGTAAGAGAATGGGGAATGCAAAACTGTGTCACTTTGGCATTGTGTAGGATTTAAGTAGTTGAAAAATTTTAGCCTAAATATGCAAATGCCTTCTCAACTACATTTTTGCCATGGCAATCTTTCACAGCCTGTTTCATGGTAATTTTCCTTTTACTTATTAGCAGTCAAAACCAAACACCAGATATCAAATGAGGGAGAAGAATGGGCTTTGGGGAACAGGGCCTAAAAAGGTGCCTTTTTT